TCTCTGCTCCTCGTTTTTCTTTCTTTCTTTTTTTTTCCCCTCTTTTCCCCCTCTTTGGCAGGACACGGCCCTCCTTGCACCCTGATAGGTTGCGGGCTGATGCTTAGCAACAACATTCCTGTGCCCTAAGTAGCAGTAAGCCTCTGGCTGAACTCTTTGATGTGGCTGTCAGGCCACATTTATTTCCTTTTAGCACTTTGTCTACTTGTCCAGATGTATAAGGAGATAAAAAGGGCTGGTGTTTACACTGGTCTCCCTCTGTAGCGCGACTGTAATTAGATTGTATTGCTGGTCAGTCTTCAGGAGGGAGGTGAGGTGAGGCAAGGCAGGAACCAGCTGTGTCAGGATGAGCTGGTCCCGGCGAGGCGCTACTTTCTGTAACTTCTCGTGCGACAACCAACATCACAATCGCGCTTTAGTCAAATCTTAGATGCCGCCGTGACGTCCTGTTATACAACTCCCATCAAGCTCTTTAATTGACAGTTTCAGAACTTGGCAAACTTTGTGGCAGTTGAAACGCAACTAGATACACGTCAGTTTTTCCTGACTCCCTTTTTTATTTTTTTAAGATCCCCACTGTGGCGGTGGTTGTGTGCTCCATGTGGCTCTCTTTGTGCTTCGCCTGTCTTCTCTTTCCACCCCTCCACTGTTTTTTTTCTTTCTCCTTCCACTCGCCTCTCTTGTGGTGATATGTTGGAACTAATAATCACTGTTGCCTCTGGGTTTATCAGCATTTATTCGCATAACAACACAGGAAAAAAAAGAGCAGACAGACAGGACTGGTGTGATGTATTATCCAGTGTGGGAATCATCTTTCATAATGACATCCAACAGAGCTTCCTCTCTCTACCTCCTTTTTCCCCCTCATTCCCTGGATTTTTCTTTCTTGCATTTACACACATACACACTTTCCTCATTTCCCACTCCCTCCTTCCACTCCCCTCTGTCCACTCTTTATTATCACAGAATCCACGATGCTCCCCAGCCTGTAAATTTGTGCCACATTATCATAAGCTGTGGTGATAACTCACATTGCACAGAGACAATAATGATGTGAACACTCAGCATATGCCCCAGGCCCAACAAATTAAAACAATGCTCAGCTTGATGAGCAGACTAATCTGGACAGCAGAGAGACTGTGAGAGGGGGGAAAAAAGAGAGCTCCGGGAGACTCTTAAATCGACGACACAGCAGCACCTCCCTCTGTTCAGTGTTGGCACAGCTAAAGACGTTTAGACAAAACAAGGAGAGCTGGAAATTGTGCATATGAAGGAGTAATGAAGAAGGTGCTTTAAAGCTGAAATAATCACCAGTTTGTTCTCCTAAAACAGAGACATTGATCATTTCATTTATTCTATGTTGGGTTTTTTTATTATCCTGATCAAAATCATTGCAGCTATTTTAACTTCTGATGAGCTAAAGGAGTGCAAATGGGTTGGAAAAGATGAAAGATGGATGTGAGTGGCAGGTAAAATGATTGTGCTGAACTGGACAAGAGCTGACTAGAAGTACAGATGTTCAATGAGGTGAAGCATGATTTAAAGAGTGAGTCTGAAATGCTGAAAGCAAGGGGGACCTACAGTATGTGTCAGCACTGAAACAATGTGATGTGGAAGTAAAGTAGTTCAGTCTTGCAACGTAGCATCCTTTTATACAGACATCTTCTATTTTAGAGGGAAATGTTTCATAAGCCTGAAAAATGGCAACAAATAAAAAATGGGCCCTCATGTGGCTAGCCAATATAGCCTAGCCAAGACTAGGACTACGTTCACGCGACAGTTTTAGGCTTTTTCCTAACAATCTGAATGTGACAAATCTGATTTTTTTTCAAACCCGACCTAAGCCTTTTTAGTATGTAGTACTGAATCGGATACATATCGGATGTTTTTTAATGCGACCGCAGTCCGAATGCTCATGTCGCATTTCATCAGACTTTTGTGCAGTTTAAATCTTGTAACTTCACACAAAAGTTCAGTTGTCGTGTCTTTTTTTGTTTTAATTTTCCACGTCCTGGATGACTAAGAATCTACAGAATTATATGAGAGTAACATTGGTCACAGACCGTATCGATGCTGTAAGTTACTGGATCAATACTTGAGTTAGTTTTACTTTCAGCGCATTGCTCCTGTTCCATGAATACATGCTGCACCACAGTAATCAGCAAGAGGCAGGTTCAAATGTAAACAGTGGGCTAAACAAGCATGTCAGATAATTATTTAATCAACTCTTATTGCACAACAACTTCAGAATCGACATGCTAACGTGTAGCATACATATTTAGTGTACTTCTGTAAACATTGAGCTGAATGTGACGTCACGTCATTTTCTGCACATGCAGGTCACATCAGGGCTGTGGAGAGTTCACAATGGAGTCTGATGGAGGTCCCGTTTAAAACATAATGTGAACATCTATACACAAAAAAAATACATATTTTTGCAACGAACTGGAATTGAGCATTAGGAAATGCAGTGTGAATGTAACCAAATATCGTTGCCTTGTTCTTCATATACGTATGACTGGCATCACAGCTGATAAAGTTCTAACTGTTCTTAACCAATTGACATAAAAACATTCCCAGATAGACTGCATTTTCCCTTTACTATTCACTTTAGCAGATAATATTTGTCACAGACAATTGTGTTTGTTATAACTGCCAAAATGTTGTCAAAGTTCACACTAGTAATTTTTTTATGTAGTATGATTGCGCTGATTAATTTGCTGCAGAAAGTTGCTGGTTTCTCAAGTTACCAGTTTGGCAGCCTAGGCTGAGTTAAACTGACACCACCCGTTTTCCTCAAATTGGACGTGGCAGTTCTTATTTAGTACTATAGGTTCTTATTTTCTGTTGTTGCACTGCTTGTATTACTCATTCCATACAAGCACATCTCACAAGGAGGGAGCCAGCTTTGATGTAACTTATCAAGTTTTAGCCACTCCAGAGGCTGAGAGCAGCGGGTCTGCTGTCAAAACAATATTCCTATTCCAAACTGTATCTTCCAAACACACAGTCCTCCAGCATATGTGTGGGAAGGCCTCAGAATACACTTTTTTTGCCTTATTTTCTCCCCCTTTGCTGTAATACGAGACACATGCTAGCCAGACCTTAATGCCTTTCAGAGATGCTATCTGAAAGCACATTAAGTGATCGTTTTCAATTCACAGTGCTCTCTTCGCCCATGAAGAATATGGTTCCATTTAACTGTGCAGACCATTCCATTTTTCAAGGTTATGCATGGGTATGTAGAAGGACAACAATAAAGGTGGGGGGAAATGCAGCACCAAGCCATTTCTAATATGTATTTGTCAGTTAAGTCTCTTGCTATGATTAAAACCCTAGTGAATTCCTTCCCGCAGCAAAGGAAAGTATTTCTGCAAAAGGATCAGATATCGCTGTGTCACGATAAACTGCCTGCTCCTGCTAGCTCTAAGGCTACAGAACGCAAAGCTAGGGACAGAAGGGGATGTTTTGAACCTTGGAAGTAAGAGTGTAAAAAGTATTGATACATTGAAATATAGCAATATTTAATTTCCGGAAACTGAATCGATTCTCTAAAGCAGTGTATCGATTTTTATTTAAGGTTTGAGATGTAAACTTTCTTGTAAAGCAGTTCATTTTTGTGTAGTAATTTAGCCTCCAGTCACTAGTTGGCAGCAGTCAGCCTGCAATTCGGCTCCTTCATTCCTAAAGAGCCAGAGAGTTCAAATGCTAGCATTGTGAGTAAGCATTAGCACTAAGTACCAATGGCTATATCTGGACAAATTAGAAAGACACTCACTGCCTTCAAAGCTGAGGCAGGGTTGCAAACTGTCTCGTATTTGCCAGGATGTCCCGTATTTTAAGACAAATTGAAGTGTCCTGTATGGCAGTGATTCCCAACCAGGGGCTACATGGAAAAATGCCCCAGGTGTGTAAAAAAAATAAAAAAAATAGGACCGAGACATGTAGTGCCCCATGGTTTCCACAATGCGGAAAATGCAAACAGAATCACAAAATTGACACAACATGTAATCCAGTATAGAAAGCGGAATCTCACGGAATTTGCTTATTTTGTGTATTTGATGTATTTTGGACGCTGCTGCTTCCTGCACCTGCCATTACCTAGTTGATTTATTTATTTAATTACTTATTCACTTTCAAGGCAATGCATTTATCTTAATGTTTAATTTGAGTTAAAAAGAATAAAATGCCTGAGAACTAAACATTCTATGGGGTTAAATAAATTACTTTCATTTAATAATCAGTTGTCGTACATTATAGTTTTGGAGAATCATCATTATGTTTGACTGAGGGGGGTACTAGTGGTATGACAAAATGGTTCAGGGGTTACATAAGTCTAAAAAGGTTGGGAACCACTGCTGTACAGGACACTATTCCTCCTTACTGCAACCTGCATGCAGAGCCGTCACGTTACAGAAGGCAGGTAGGCATTTGTCTATCATCAGTATTATGACCCCTGTATCATGATATGTATTGTATCTCCAAATTCTTGCCAATACACATCCCTACTTTAAGGTGCACCAGAAAAACTAAACAAAACAATAAAAAGACTATTGATGTGTTTGTGAGTACAGTGTGAGACTGAGGCCACTGTTATTTTCACGGTCGTCAATTTCTCCCTCTGGTTTAGCTTGATGATTGTTTGACTTTGTTCACAATCAATATCTCATTCCACTTGTGCAACCGGCAATCTATGTATATATTTATCTCACATTTTAATTGAGGAACAATAAGTAATACATTTAATAAGGGTGAGACTTTAGACTGATTTTGGAAGTGCCTTGCTATTTGTCAACCTACTTTGACTTAATAAAAGGTCATAGCTGAATGAACTAGGTCCTAATCAGATTGTTTTGAAGATAATTACCATACATGCAAAATGTAGCATTATATGTGTTCTCATTACATTCAATTTTTTTATACAAATGATTATGTTCAATTTAAAACTTGTCAATCTAGCTTCTAAATGTAATTTCCACCTCATGTTTTCTTTCTCCAAGCCATGCAATGAGGCTGGACTTGAGAATCAACCTTTGCCATACACACCTCTACCTCAAGGATCCAGAGATGCCAAGAACCACAAAGGTAAGACAATTTGAAGGTCTTTTTTGTCTTTAAGGCTGATTTTTTTGGGGGTTTGCATTCATCAAATCGAGCATAAAAGAAAAAAGCTTCTATATTCAGAGCTACATTCTGAGGATTATGTGAGTCATAACCCCAACGAATGTGGAGTGGGAATCTGTTGAACTTGAGAATAAGTTGCAGTTGTCTTATCTATTCTTATTGATCTCATCTCATCTGTGTGATGTGTTGATAGTGGGAACAAGTCTGAGTAATCTGGGGTAATGCAGATCTGAATGTATGCGTGAGAGAACAGAGCACACACAAGATGAAGCATCCTTGATCTGTGGATACGCAGACATTGATTAGGCCTTACATCGACCCAGTGTAGTAGGTTGATGTAATTATGTAGCTTTTTTAAAAACATTAAATGATGTGCTCTAGGAAGAATACATCATGTTCATTAAAAATGATAGTGTTGTGAATTATTTATGAAGATTGTCTTCTTCATTCGTATTACATTCTCAGGTGAGATTGAAGTAAAAAGCACAATTCTCAATTTCAATATTTTCGACATAGATTGGAAAATAATTTGTGTTTAAAAAAATCAAGGTTTTTTTGTATGTGTGTACTCATACCTGTCATGAATTAAATTTTAAACATAATAATTTTGTTATTTTATGTAATATTGCCCACGTTTTTTATATGTACAATATTAAGGAATGGGCCATTCTATCTGTTAGTGTAAAGCGCTTTGGGGTCCGGAGGGACTTGAAAAGCGCTCTATAAGTTCAGTACCATTTACCATTCTTACCGTTTTTACCAATGCACACCAGAGCAGCACCTTCATTACTAAGCACCAACCCATTTGATCCTGTCATCACTTGCAAACAGGACATGGATATATTTAAATTGTTCTGCTTAGGGGAAGAGACTCCTCCCCAACCCAAAGGACACATTTCTTTTTTTTTTTTCAGTAGTGAACCATGGGCAGACTTTAAAAAAATGACTTTCTTGATTAATTCAAACTCTGTTGGAAATTGCTCCACTGCAATTCTGAAGGTCATGGCATGAAGAAACCATATCATTTGTAAAAACTAAAGATGAGACCCTGAGGTTCTCAGATGCCCTCCTCTCCATAATGACCGTTGATCACCTGTTCACACACATTTTCACACAAGTGGACCAGTTTACCAAAAACTCCTGTGACCCTCTGAGCAATTCTGTGAGGGTAAAGCTCTGATTCACTGTTCCAGAGTAAACTAACAGCCCATTTTTATTACAAAGGACAGATCTGTGCCATAAAATCCAGGACGGTGGCAGCTTTCATTGGACGTGAGGACAGAGAGCATTGTACTTTGTCAAAATCAGACCTGTTCGGAACAGTCCGTTTAAAGGTGAAGGGATCTGACACATGAAATATTTTCCCCCTCTGTCTAGGATCTGAGCAACAATGACAGTCGTTATTTGTTATTTTTATGATGCAGTGCTGCAGTCTTAGATAACACAGCCCTCATCTTCGCCCTTCACCTCTGCTTCATAGCCCTGCTTGAAGCCTCTACCCCCATCTTGTCCCCCCACCCCCATATTTATTTAGCCTTCCTAACCATACTTGACTTTTCTCTGTGTGTGGTAGATGGTCACAGTAAGTTCTCATTCAAAAAGAACAAAGAAATGCCAAAACAGCGCTTTAACAGAGAAAAAAATTGAGACAGTATATCCAGTGTTTACTGAGATAATCCAGAATATAAACAATGGGGGTGAAATAAAACGCTGCCTGGTTTGATGTAGTTCACTGCGGTGCTCTCCTTTCAGTACACACGGTAAATTAAACAATTCACTTTTTTGTTCTTTTGTTTATTTTCTTGGTCTTAAACCAGTTTGTGCTGTCACAACTGCTTTTTCTGCCTCATGAAGTACTCCCTTTGCTTTTGTTTCTCATTGCAAAAACAAACAATAGTCAGTACATGAACAATAAAGCCTGTAGTGATTTCATTTTAAAGTCAGCTTTATGTACACATAGTAAGCATATGTGAGAAAAGTTTTTTTTTAAGTGAACAAAATGCTTTTAAAACAGTAACAAGAGAGGCTGTCTGTCCTAATCCTTGTATTAGGAATCAGATTAGCAGCATTCCTGACATCCGCATGTCGGCTGCACAGGAAGAACTTCTGTTTTCTCCTTTCAACCCCGTGTATCCAACCCCTCTACCAATGTCACCTGTGTGGAAGCCCCAGAGCATGGGTGCCAGAGATAATTACAGCAGCAAGGAGCTCTCAGAGGAGGGCAGTGCTGTCAGGTCACTGCCCCGGGAGAGAGGGCTGGACGCCAAAGACAGAATTCCTGTCTTATTTGGTGAAGAAATCAACCTGGAGGAGACAGAGTTAAACAAGGAAGCAGAGACAAGAGCAAGAAGGCAGAAATAGAGGAATATGTTGTTTTTGTCTTGTTATAGTTGTGAAATACAAATTGAAACGTAAAAGCGAGAGGCAAAAGTCGTGGCGGGGCGGGTGGGTGCTAAAACGTGAAAATTGGACTTTAAGATAACCGGAGTAAAAGACAAAGTGAAGGAGTGTGGCGGGGGCTCGGGTGTGTTTTGGTGAAGGCGTGATGCAGAGTGGAACACACAGTCTGGCAGAGGGGCCTGAGGATCTTCCACCACTGTCACCTTGACTCTAAGTCTTGGTGCTGGTCCAACTGCCAGCTCAACTCTAAATCCAGGCAGCCAAAATGGAGCCCCAGCCTGAAGTAGAGTGTGGCCTCATAAAAACCGCTTCGTACCATATCAACTCAAAGCCACCGGGAGCACATTCTTGTGATTTATCATGAAAACTTAAAGTTGAACTGGCATATTTATTTTAGGATGACATATTTAAAGTCAGATTTGTCAAGTTATGTTAAAAAGCTGATTAAAAACTTCATTCAGATTTAGTTGTGGTTGATAAGTGTAATTCATTATGCAAGATTATTGAACCCTCTATAGGTATCAGATAATTGCTGGTTATAATTTTGGTAATGCTTACATTAAAGGAGACCAATTATGGGTCCTAGAAATTTTTATGGTATGTCCGTGGGCTATCCAGACCATGTTCATTCAATTTAATGCACAAAATAATTCTCAGATAATAAAATTTCCCATTTTCTAGTTCTGCCTGCTCTGTCTTCCGTTCAGAAGAGCTGTTTATGTTAATGAGCTCTGTTGGTAACGCCCTCCAAAAATCTGTTGACATTAACTCCGCCCTCCAAAGCCAGTGTTTACGTTAGCATGGCTAATAATAGCAGAAGCTCCGTTGTACAACCATATGAGACCCAGAGGCAGAGTCGTGGTCGCAGCTTCTTTTTTCTCTCTCCCTCCTCTGCTCTGAGCTCATTCTGCATGCTGTTACCAGAGCAGGGAGCAGCAGCGGTCAAAATACATCAGAAACTTGAACAAATAGGCTTTAACAAGGCTTTAATAAGCTAAACAATAGAGGTACATGAGAAAGCATGTTCATAACGAATGAAAATAAATAAATAAATTGTGTCCGTGCCAGTCTCAAACCCTGGCCTACCCCTCTCTGGTCCAACACTCTACCCATTGCCCTATTGGAGGCCTGCTGTGAAATGAGCTGCGCATTGCACAACAACACCGTGACGGCTTTTTATACTGAGGAGGTGGAGTCTCACTCGGGGGTTCCTAGATAAGGGGCTGAACGCAGGTTCCGGTGGGTTGTCATACGGCTTGTGACATCACAAAATGACGGAAGTATAAAACTTGTCATTAATATACAATAAAAATACATTTACTTACAGTAAATATGCCCCTGGGTGCATTATTTTTGGTCCTAGGACTGTTTTTTAAGAAGTACATACCCAAAGTTGAGTAAAAAAAACTTTAAAAAGTGAATTTTGCATAATAGGTCCCCTTTAAATTAATTTTCACGGGTGTAGCTAACCTTACAAAAAAATTAAAAAGAAAATGAATGCAATATGTGAAACCTGCTTTATTGTACAAAGTCAAGTGCCTTTTAATCTCATTGTTTTAGGCTTGCTTTCATCTGCTTTATATACAGCGGGTAAAATAAGTATTGAACACGTCACCATTTTTCTCAGTAGATATATTACTAGAGGTGCTAATGACATGAAATTTTCACCAGATGTAGAAACTAGTGGCATGCATTGCTCAGGTGTGATTTTGGCCCATTCTTCCACACAAACAGTCTTCAAATCTTGAAGGTTTCGTGGACCTCTTCTATGAAC